CCGCGGGTACAGCAGGGGTGCTAGAAGCTCCACTATTCTTGGACCGCGGTCAAGGAAGGTGCGGGCTTCGTGCTATGTATCTGACCGTAAGTAGTCCCAGTCACACTTCATTTTAGTCATTTTTGCCGCTCAGCCACTTCCCGACTTTGTTGCTTACCTGATGTGTCGGGCTGCAATGACACATCGTGACTTATGACCTGTCATAGGTGTTGATATCTAGTCAGGCCATTTCAATCATCTACAACGCCAGAGTTACAACTCTTTTTGGGGCAAACGGCCTCCAACACGGTCATCATTTGGGACCCTCGCAACCGAAGAAAATCAAGCGATTTCTTCCTCTGCGCAAGATGGTTAGTCCCCAAATCTAGCTTGTCGACATTCCGGTACTAATTTTACCAGGATCCCAAGGCTCCCAAGGATCCCAGTGCTGATCTGGTAGAATCTATGTGGGATTCTGCAACTCAGGTCAAACCAAGAGTATATACTGAAGCGACCATGCTGTGGAAAAATAGCGCAGCTTATTTTCGGGGACCGGAGGTGAAAGACTGGACTACAATGAAGAGCACGGGGCAATGGGAAGTACCGAAAGATTGGTGGGCCTATCTGGCAGAAGGGGAAATTCGGATGTTATGTGAATAGCAAGACCGGAACTGTATTCAAGATAGCCAGAGTTTGGTTATTATATCATTTAGAGTAAACTCGTTCATCGCGAAACTGATCTGGGCCGGACTATCGGCTGGACCATGAATTTCCATGCTTAGGCATTTTGACAGTGCGATACCTTGCATGACTTCGTCTAAATACTTCCGACTACTGCGTACTCCTGTACTAACCAAGTTTCCCAACAATCCATCCCAAAGACTGACTTTGGTCTTGTTGAGTTTCACTGAGCCGATGATCCCCACGCTTGCTCCGCCAGGGAGGGTAAAAGCCCTCTGCTGTTCCATTTCAACGATTTGTATCCCATATAGCTTCATGGCGAGGGGCACCACCGCCGAGGCCTCCACATCTAGCCAGAGCCGGCATTTAGCTGGGTCGCGCGGAAATGATGCGAAGATCGAAGCAGTATAATCGCTGCGAACAATTATATCACCAAGCTCTGACTCAAAGACAGACGGTATTTTACTGGCGTTTGGGTACGAGTAGTTCCATTCCGGGTCGGCGATGAATATCGGTCGGCTTGCCTGATCGAGTGTATGAAGCTCTTCGGTCGGCTGGGGAGCAGCAGGGTGGGAGACTGGGTTCGCATTGTCTGTCTGTGTGGTATCCGAGGTCATATTGTTCGTGTTGGGAAGCCTGGTCACGACAGACAGCTCGTCGTGGTTATCAAGCGACTGAACGCGCGGTCGCTTTCGGGCGTTCGATGGGAAGCTAATGCCGACGCGCTCCAGTTGAGCTACAAGATTAGAGAATTGACATCGATCAAGGAGCTCAGTCTACTCACCACGACGAGCTTTCGCGCGCCTAGAGTCCCAGAGCGTGTGCTGAACACGTTGGGTTATGGACGATTCCACCGACACCTTTGACACATTGTCAGCGATAGTAGAGAGATTGTCAGGTGAAATTTTGCGCAAGGTTTCGTCCAAATGTTTATCACCCCTGCTCGCTAGGACATATGCTAGCCACGAGTAAAAACCACAATCTTGGAAGGTAGATGAGATGGACTCTGATCTGTCGAGTGCTTGTAATGCGGAGTCAATCCCATCAAAGGCTCTGGAAATATCTGTTTGTTTTTCTCGGAGGTAGTCTGACAGTTGCTGGGTGATCCTCGTCAGCTCCTGCGGAACCGAAGAATGAAAGCTGGGCCCCTCTTGGTAGGGAGCCATTCCACCAGAAATTCGGTTCATTGCCGGTCGAGGATTGTAAATCGAAAAGACCAGTACCATCCATTTGGCTGACCGCGGGCTGACCGCGGGCTGACCGCGAGCTGGAATGTGTATCTTATCACACAAAAAAACAAGACGCGCTGCCGTGTCACCGGACACTCCTATGGACCACGTGGCAGACATTGATAGGCCAGACAGGTTTCCGTCCCACTTTCTGACAGCATCCGCCGTTGGTGACGTATAGCGATGCTAACCTGGTAAGAGTCCTACATTTATGCGCTACCGCGGGCAGACCGCGGTTCCTTCTGCTGCATTATTCCTCACAGGAGGAGAACCTTGACCAGCAGTCTCTGATTTGCTTGCAATCTCATAGAATGCGATAGTAGCAGGCCGCTTTCAAGGCCACTTGACATTTCATTGGCAAGCAAATCAAACCTTGCAGCCGACAACAAATGAGTTATCTCAGCTCAAGTGGATAGTCGGCATGTATACAAGTATTTTATAAATAAGGGCCTTCTTGACAAGTACTTGCCCGTCATTATCAATTGTCTTCTACTAATCTGACTTCACGATCAAGATGGAAAACATGGATATACTTCTGCAACATCCCTTCAACCTGGCGGAAAACAAAAATGAGAAATCAGACACCAACAAAGCTTGGGCAGAACGCTATAAAACAATCACCGACGGCCAACTTAACATTCATACTACACCTCTCCCCGACGGCACGATTGATCCCGATTGTTGGTCAGCATTTGTGCCTGAAGATCGTGATGATGTATGGAGACGTGGGGAGCAGTCTGTTCATCCAAATGCGAGAAGCAAATGGGTTCTGGCGAATGAAGATGACGTGACAACATGGTTTCAAGTAGAAATTGTAGCACCTGTCTTTTCCAAATTTCGGCGTTTTGGATCCGTTCATCATCTCGGCAAAAGTCCTCCTGACCGTGGTGGGGTTATTGTTGATTCGAGAATTCGCTGGGGGACTCGTACCATCGCTATTGGCGAGTTCAAGAGAAACATCTTTAAACCTAAAACGTGGATTGGCAAAAGGCTTTATAAGGACAAGGAGCAGCAGCGACTCAGTCGAGAGATCCGAGGGCAAGAAATATTCTTCGTCGTATGCACAGTCTGCTAACGAGATGCGCTAGATACGCTACAATAAACGAATGCCCGCACATCTACCTTTTCGATGGCGCGCATCTGGTTTTGTTCCAATTCAGGGCTAGTTCGTTGAAAGATTTCTCACGCTGCGATGTGGATTGTTGGATCTTCCCACGCGTTAAAGAGAATTCATCAGAAGCTCCATCCATGGCAATTAAGTCTCTCAAGAAGTCCTTTTTCCCACTAAAGTCCTTGAGATGGAGAGCAGAACCCAGCCGACGAAGCCACGGGTTCGGTGCAGTGACATCATTCTCCGCCTCAATCCGCTCCGCCTCTCGGCTTCGAATATCTTTGCCCTTACTTTGGAATGCGTGGATGGCTTGCTGAAGTCTGACTTGTGACTCACGATCTTGAACACTTGATTGTTCGAGATTCAGTCCCCTTGCCACTTCGAATAGTTCACTTCCCGGCCCCCTAAGGAACAGCCGCTGATAGTAGACCCCCGTCCTCCATGGACTATTGCTCCTCTCCTGCTCTGCCACAGCAGCTGAGCGACGCCCTCCCTTGAGGTCTAAGCTCCAATGATGCTTGACCCCGAGATGTTCTCGAATTCGCCTCAGATCTTTGCCTACGTATGGGCAATCGGGCTGGCAGGTACTATGCTCTGGGACAAACTCGCACCGAATACCTCCTGTACCTGGCGGCCCCAAAGCTGTAATTGGTGGTGCATTGTCGGGCCTGGGTGGTAGATTATTGTGAACCTCTTGCTGACTGTCAAAGATTTTGTGCTTAGATGCCCATTCTTGTGCATCCTTGATCGCCTCGATAGTAAGATGATGTGGTTCACTACGAAGATGCACCCTAATTTGTTTTCGTGTAACCATAGTCCGGCATGAGCGGCAGCAGAGAAGCTGTAGTTCTGGATTATATATAAAGTACTCCATTGCAAAAAAAAAACTTGAAAAGATTAAAGTCTTACTTTACACTCTAAATTTTATTGTCTACAGCGCAGTACTAAATACTTTCCCTAAACCCCTTTATTTTATATCAACAGTTCCAGCTGAATGTGACCTGAACACGATGAGACGCTGCTGAACTCTATAAGTGAAGAACGTACTCTGATTCGTCGTGGCGGTCTCATCCATGTTCACAAACCCTGTCGCCCAACAACCATCGAAGAAAAAAGTCTAGAAGTGAATACGCAGTTCATTAACGAAAACTATATATTTATATACTAATATTAGTATCAATCAACTCACAATCATTTACTGCATATTCGTACTCACTTTTAACTTACCCCGATGACCATAGCGCCAAAGAAACTAATCGTCGGTAGACGTTCATTTTAATCGTCGCGCGACCCATGTCCTGTTAGCGCCACAAAATTTCCCATACAAACTTAATCGTCGGTTGCCAGCCGACGCAAACAATAAATGTCAGGGATTACCGTATGCTTCCACCGCCAGCATGACGCACCCTTTGTCCTGTAGCCGTCACGGCAGAGCTCTTGTGATACATGACAGTAGAAGCAGCTCAGGAATCTTGCCTGCCGGTCCTTTTTGTAGTTGATCAGGCCCTGGAAGTCCATACAGCTAGTAAAGGATAGGTCTTTTGTCCCGGCCATTAGATGATAAGATTTCGTCTTGCTTGGTAGAAAACACCCACCGGATGTATTTTGAACATCAGGGAACACTTATGACAAGCGGACATGCCTACGAATGCCTGTTTAACGCCATGCCACAACTAAAAAATTGCAAAAAGATTTCTTTCGACGACGAAAGTCCTCCTTGGAGCCCATCTCGTCTGGCAGAAAGTTTTGGGGTCAAATTACAAAGGTCTCCGACAGGACCCGCTGCGAGCGATGATTTCATCACTCGTCTTCTTGGTATAATACTTGCCCCAGAAATCGTTCGTGAAACCAAGATCGAGCATCTTGACATTCATACCGGCTATTGTACGGAAGACGTCTTCAGTCTCCGTCTAGATCAGCTTCCGCTCTTGCTGTTCCGTATCGAAAGTCTACGCCGGCTCCACCTCGTTATCAATAACGTATTCACCCAAAATCGACTTCATGATTTTCTGGCCTACTTACCAGGCTTAACAGACTTCAGTCTTGACGTGTATGGCAAGTCATCTCTCCATAGCCGTGCTGGTATTATTACCGGCCTTTGGATCCCAAAGTTACAGACGCTCAGCTTATCTATGGTGACCTGCACAGCCACCGACCTGAAGAATCTTGTCTGTAACCATCAGAAAACGTTGAAAGACATCAGTTTCACAAGCATTAAGCTACCTGACGAGCGAACTTGGCAAAGTGTGTTCGACAAAATACTTGGTTTCAATATCACCAACTTTCAAATGTATGATTGCTTGGAGGATGAATCAGATCCTGAGAATATGGAAGAGCTTAGGCAGCATCACCAAAAGTCTAGGGCGGGTTTTGTGGCATGAAGCGGACGCGGTACTATGGGGATATTGAAAGTCTTTTAGCTGGTTAGCGGATGGCTGTGACCCAATTTGTAGTAGTAGTAGTCTATATCGATAATAAATGACGCAATGAAGCAATATTCTGCTAGATTGGCTAAATTACACTGATCAATTAATAAGTTCCCTGGTCCATCGGATATAGCCTTTGGTATCTTTCTGCACTTGCAATATTTAGTCTGGATTATATAATGCCCAGTATAAGCCCGGTTAAGCTTTCTATCGTCTTCCCGTAATTAAGCTTTACGAACTTACAACTTTTTATGGAAATCCGATAGCTTGTTCTGGCGAATCGTAACAAAGGCCGGGCGTTTCGAGCTTCTGCACCTTTGCTGGGGATAAAATGGGATGAGTACTTTGCTCCTGAACAGGTAAGGGGTCCATTATGACTAAGCTCGGAAAAGTATATAACATTGGATGAAACGGAAAATATCGAGGAGACGCTTTACGAAGAGAATAGGTATGTCAGATTCAGCAAGCAATAGCAAAACCATGCCGTTTTTTTGAATCTGGAGTGATTAAGTTCAACAACTTGACAAGGGTCAGCTGACGGAAACGCGACGCGTTTCGTGTTTTAGGTTTTCTAATTTCATAAGTACGGTACTGGAAACGCAGTGCGTTTCATATAGTAATACTTGAGTAGGCCGGCAGAGAGATGGATAAGAAAAAGCAAGTGCTCGAGTAACTGATCAACTAGTCCTAGATACCTGGAAAGGACTGGGATGCTTGGCGGTGCGCTTGCTGTGGTGGAATTTGAATACCACTTGGCTCTCAGCTCGGGACTGTTCCAGATGAGCAAGATCAGCCAGATCCTTGACTTTTCGCCGGCTGCTTGGCAAAGACTATCGGCCACAAAATAGCCAAGCGCATCGTCGTTTGCGTTATCCTGCAGCTTGCCCCACGGTATAGCGGGGATAGTAACTGGCTGCTCATCAAGGACAGAATAGTCCTTTTGAAAAAGAAGGCCCTGAAATAAGACTTTTCTGGCGGCGATAAGAGAAGACTGCAGCAGCTGTGCTAGGTTGGGCAGCGGAAGCCTGTTACCTTTGAATACAAGGTCGAGGTTATCCCAGCTGATAAACCCGGGGGCCGCTGTATTACCCTTGGCAGCTATCCCGTAACTGCGAAGTCGCAATACATACTGCATCGCCATGGCTTCGGCCCCTGGCGTGCTGCTGAGCATGCATTGTGATGTCCGGCGTTCCACAAGGTTCAAGATGCCCGGGGCATTCAGCTCAGCTTCTTCGGTGCTGAGACCACTGGCAACGCCCGCTTCGATGGCATTCCATCTGATCAGATGGGCCTCTCTTAGAATGAGTAGACGAGAGATAGATACAAGTCCGGAGAGCCACGGCGTAACCGTATCGTAGCTGTACCATGACCCATCCGGTGCAATGCTGAGGACAGAGAGAAAAGAGACCATGATGCTCTCATGTTCAGAGTCTTTAGTCTGCTGACGAAGAATGGTCATGAATAACCTCAAAGTCTCTCGCTTTAGCCCTTCCATCAGCTGCGTAAGTACCTGATCAGGTAATTGCCCTCGCGCCGCCTTCCACTGGTCTTCCAATTCATCACCAACTGCCATCAGGTCTTCGTATGCCTTCTGTTGCTGACGGCTGACTTTAAACGGTGGCCTCTCGGTTGGATCTTCAAGGTCGAGGCAACGAAGAGTATAGACGATAAGCTGCTTGAGTATGCTCGCATACCTTCGCTTCGTCTCTTGCTTGTGACGGAAATTGAATGGTTTCCGGCTGGCCGTGTTTATATCATATCTTGCAACCTCAAATCTGGCATTAAGAGGAACCTCTTGCCGATAGATAAGCCCCTGGGCTTCCCAGATTAACTGATCAAGTACTTTAAAGACCATAAGATAGATAAAATCGTATGATTCATTCAAGCCTTCCGGACTTAGATCTAAATCCAGAGAGATGAGCCCACGCAGAAAGTCCTTCTTATCGGCAAAGCCCTGGAGATGTGTTACACAGCCGAGCCGGTCGAGCCAAGGAGACGGTTGCATGAACTGATCTGGCTGCTCCATCATATTGGCATCCTTTTGGACGATCAAGGAGCGATTAGTAAAGAAGTCCTTGATGGCAACTTCCTGATCAGATGGTTCCGTCGGTCTAGCTTCCGGATCAACCTCAAAATACTCGCTCTCCACACAATCACACCGTGGTACTACCACAGCCTCGGAAGGCTTCGGATGTAGAGCCACTAACCGTTCCGGTCACTTGGAAGGTCAAGTAACGTGAAGGTGTAGGGTGAGTAATTAAAGGAGGACTGTGCAACTGGAAACGAAAGACATGAATTGTCGCTGTTGACAAGGCTCAAGCTCATTTTTGTTTGCGGCAGCTAGTAGGAGGCATTAGTGCAGCTTTTTTCATCAGCCAGACAGTTTCATTCCAACCCTAATATCTGCACTTCCTTACCTAACTCATATGAAACCATGAAATATCCTTGCGATGAAACATGGAGATAATCGACATGGCCGTCAATAAGTAATTCCAGGTCTCATATTGTATTTTGATCGACAACGAGACCATCTAGTAGTTTAATTAATCGCCTGTAGCACTTTACGCAAAAGGACGCGTCGCGCTCTGGCTAAACTCCTGTTCCGATCAGCACTAATGTCATATCAACTCTGCACCCCGGCAATAATCAACCCTGCTAGGTTTAAAGTGGGTCGATAAAATCAACTCTGCCAGAGTTTATCTGGGACTGTAGTACTAGGCACGGCGATTGGGCAGTTGGAGAGGTCCACGGATGATTGTGTGAGGCGCTTCAATGTTTAATGATGATTTTCGATCAAATGGGGGCGTTGCAGAGATGCCTGGGTGTTAGCAATGGGTTAGACCTGTATCGAATATAGTAGCTATCCAGCGGCTATTATTATTTATAATCAGCAGCAAATCACCAAACCATCGTGGTACCCTACCCTACCCTATAGCAGAGCTTGGCCCTTTTAACCTTATCTATCTGTTTATACTTCTTGGTCATTATGGGACTCTTATTTATCACAAGTACCGATGTACATCTTTGACCGGCTAAGCACTTATCTTTACAAACCCCATCTTATTTTTAAAACCAGGGACCCGGCGCAGACTGGTGGATTTTACCCAAGAGATATCTAATATCCAATGTCCAATGTGCTCCAAAATCGGACAGAACTACAAAGAGGTCAATTCTGGGACGGATATTATCGTATTATGAACTTTCAGTTTCTATTAAAGTGCCACATTATCCTATATAATTGTGTAGATTTATTATGTTACTGTGGAATACAGAAGCTCGCTCGTGTAAGACATGGCTGAAAGCTCCCTGGTGAAGCTGCCACAAGAGTTGAAAGATCGTATCGGAAGATATCTCGATCTCAAAAGCATCGCTCGTGCTCAACTAGCCTCAAAAGGGATCAGAGTATTTCTTCCTACTGAGCGGCAGGCGCTAAACAGACATAGTAGAGTTTGGGAATCTATAATTCCTTCTAAATATCGGGATGAAGACTTTTGGAATCGGTTCGCCGAAAAGTGCGGTGGCAGTGCGAAGGATTATGACATGGTGCTCTTAGGGTCCGACCTCGAGTATCTCTACTATGCAGACGATGGAACAAAGAAGCCTCCCCCAAGATATGGGCCTTTGCATCTATTTCTCCGTATCGTGAGATATGGCGGTGGTGATTATGACGCTCGTTCTTTCATTTTTGAGGACAGGTTCTCACCAGAAATCACTGATCAGCGCATTATCTTACACACATCTGATGAAAAGGAAAGGAGCACCGTATCTGATGTTTGGAACCTTGGAATTACACGGACGTCGGCGGTCTTTTGTAGGCTGAATTTAGATCTGCATAGGGTCAGTGTGGACTCTGAAGTTACAGGAGGATATTACATTCCCAACCCGTACTGCACATCAACCTTCCAACTACACCAAGTACCTGGAAGCAGGTTACGACCTATAAAAATAAATGGTGGGATGCCACAGAAACGTTCATACGGGTACGAAGACGATGAGGTAACCAAGCACCTGAAACAGATGATTGAAACTTTGCATCGGATGGCCAGACAGAACGACTTAAAGGAATATTAATGTCCTGTGTCTTACCCTACCACTTATTGTAATGGTCATCAGGGCTGATGACCATTTCTTTGTATGGGAGTTTAGTGCGGCGCTAAGATATGCACGAGCTGTTTACCTTTTTTTAACTGAGCTGATGACCTTTTCTAGATTAACGTGTTCCCAGTGTCGCAACAGCGTAAGATTCTGATATATAGTATCGTAGTATCTGATCATTTAAATGCAGCTTTCAGAATCTAATTATCTCATCTGTAGCCTCTATAAACTTATGTTATGTTATTTCTTAGTTGAATTTTGATGGGGTTGACCCATGTTCTAGGCTAGCCACAATAAGGTTAGAGTGGGACCGAAATCCGAGACGCTTAGCGGATTTAGGACTAGTCCCACTCTTAGTCATAGCACTCAGCAGGATACAAAAAAATCGTCAATCTTCATTTTAGGTAGAAAGAACAAAATAAACTATTATACTAAGGAGAATTCTATTTCTAGCAAAACAATTAAACTAAGACTCTTTAGCTAGTAAGGTATATATCTGATCAGATAGTAGGAGATTATAAGATAATACTAGGTAGCTTTTAGAATATAGGATAAGTATTATTAAGTAGATAAAAAAAAAAACCCTAGGTTACCCTATACTACTAAGCAAAAGACTATACAATAACTAAGCTAATGACCATTTCTAACCAACCAGTACACAATTTTG